TTCCTTGGGGTTCTAAGTTCTATGATGGTTTGAGCTAATCACCTAGTACTTGATGAGCATAGTCTAACTCATCAAGACAAATACTTATTGGATGCCTTAGTTCCTGTTACCACAAGTGCAAGTTTTAACTCTATCCAATAATATTATAAACTTTTTTTTTTTTTTGAGACAAGATCTCACTGTATAGCTCAGGCTAGTCTTGAACCCACTACATAGCCCAGGGTAGCCTTGAAGTTGAGGTGCTCCTTTTGCTTTAGCTTCCTGAGTGCTGTGATTCCACCTGGCTGTAAACTTAAAAGTAGAGGTGGTTTAATTAAATTTTTATCTTCTAAGTCTAGAAGGCAGTGTCTCAGGAACAAGAGATACTTTAAATATGCCATAAATATTCAATGAATATTAGATTAACTAGACTCCACTTTCTCTTGCATTTTATATAGCATATCTCTAAAATATTCTTTTTATCATCTTTTTTTTTTTTTTTTTTTTTTTTGCAGATCCAGGGATTGAACTCAGGCCCTTGCAATTGCCAGGCAAGCACTTATTCTACTGAGCTACCTCCCTGGTTCCAATTGTTTTCTGTGTTTTTGGTAACAGGGATCAAACTTGGGACCTTGAACTTGCCGGGCAGGTGCTTATGCCGCTGAGCCCTTTCCCTGGCCCACTTTTTATCATCTTTGTCCCCTACTATAAGAGCTATTCATTATTACCTAGTTCATCAAATTAAACTATTTATTCTCCTAATTCTAAAGTACACAATATTTAAAGCATGACTTGAAACCAGAAATGATATAAGAGAATATTGATAAATTTTATTATATAAAAATTTCTAGCTGGGCTCCCAAGTACTCTAGAGGCTGAGGCAGAAGGATGTTTGAGCCCAGCCTCAGCAGCATAACAAAACACCATCTAAATTTAGGAAAACAAAACACAAAGTTTCTTTACTGTCAAAAGACATCCTGAAAAAGTATTATATTTGCAGTACAAATGGAAAAGTCTGATTTTTTTTTTTTTGTGGTATCAGGGATTGAACTCAGGACCTTGTGCTTGCCAGACCAGTACTTATTCTACTGAGCTATCTCTCCAGCCCTTTGATTTCTTTCTAAAGTGTTCCTTTAATTCAATATGAAAAAGATAATACTAGCCAGCTATTCAAAAGCTGTTCATGTATTTAACCATATAGCCTTTTAATTTAATTATGAAAATATCAAACCTTATTCACAATAAACAAATACAATTTAAAGCTACAAAGTAGTGTTTTTCACTATTAGATTGGCAAGTTTCAAAATTGTGAACATTTTGATAGAAATAGAAATTGGTTCAACCTTTCAAAAAACAACGGGCAATATCCTTCACAATCCTCACAATACTTTACTATCTCAAATGATCAGTAATTGTTTCCCATACGTTCATGTAAATTGTTTAAAACCAGCTTCGGTAACAGGGTTTTATATTTGTCTCCCCTCTGTTGGTCACATAGGCGCTCAATGTTAAAAGAAAAAACTCTCATTCAGAATGTGAAATACGCTGACTTATTGTCTCTGTGTAGAAGTGGAATGTTTGACAGGTGCCATGCTGACTGTATTCAAACAGTATTCCGAGCAAGGAAGATTGGCTAAGTAGAAGGGGGCACTCTAGCAGGGCATGGTGGTCAACGCCTGTATCCCTAGCACTTGGGAGGCAGGGTAGACATTGTTCTTAGAAGCAGTTATTCTGGTGAACAGACTACTTATGATTGGCTAATCTTCAATCAGCCAGTCTAGATGAGTTCACTAGAGTGGAACTGTTTCTATGTATCTGGCTGACTTTTAACAAGTGGCAAGCTGTCACTGATTGGCTGGGGGTTTTTGTTTGTTTTTTAGAGCTGTTTCCTAACTTGGTTTGCGTTGAGTTTAAAATCACTTCTACTTATACTTTATAGAACTATTGTTCTCTAAGAACATACATAACTTTAACATTTATCTTAGAAATATTGATGAGCCGATGATGCAAGAGGAAGAGATTTAGTGGAGGTTTATAGCAGGCTGCTCTGCTGTCTAACCATGCAGAGGGGACCATGCCATTTTGTCCCCTATCCTCCAGGCATCTCTCATTTTCATTTTCATGAAACAGATGATCAGGTTAAATGCTTATATGAAGTGTCTTTTGGGGGCAACCAAATCTCAAATAGTTTTAAAATCCCAAATACCACTGCTGCTGTTTAACGTTGTGTCAGCCAAAGTTTCACATGCTGGAGATTTGGAACCCATTGCAGCCGTACTGAGCGGTTGTGGAGCCTTCAGAAGGTGGGGCTGGTAGGTAATGAGGTTATTGGGGCACCAACCTGGGGAGGTATAGATTTCTTTTCCTTATAATGACCCTATTCTGAGGTGTTTTATTATAGCAACACTAAATGGACTAACACATAAAAATCATAAAACTCAGAAAAGAGACAACAATGTTACTAATTAACTACCTGATACATTTCTGTATTTTATTTCCTTATATTTGTTTGCATCTCATGCTGTCTCTTTATATGATAACAATTTGGTAACAATTTTGTATAGAAAAGGTTAAAAATTAGCTTTTTCCTTTAGTGTTTAGTATAACTTTTAGATTTCAGGGAGTTGTAATTCCAGCACTCAGGAGTATGAGGAGGAGAACTACTGTGAATTTGAGGCCAGTCTGGGTTACCTAGTGAGACTCTGTTTCAAAAAACAAAGATTGTAGTTAAAGTACCTTTTAAGATTTTTACAGACTCATATGGCCATGTGACCTTCCAAAGACTTGGAATGGGCAGTGCAAATGAAGAGCCCTGAAGCTGAAGCTTCATTGGCTTTATAGTGAATCTGCCGCTGGGTCTGACACCCTAATTTAGTTCTTGACCACGTTGAACTCCTAAAAAACAGTGCTGAGGACTATAAGAAGCTTTTATGTGGATCATATCTATCAACATTTATTGTACTCAGAGTTAAAACAAACATGTAAATATTTAAAATAATTATGTTACATGTTAACAATAATACCTTTTTTTTGAGAAAGGGTCTTGATATGCATTTCAGGTTGGCCTTGGACTCACTGTGTAGCCCAGGAACTAACAGGGAGCTTTCTGCCTCAGCCTCCTCAGTGCTGGGATTATTGGGTATGCTACCTCACCCTGCCAGAAATAACATTTTAAAATGAAAACATATTTTCCAAAGTAAGAATAATTTAGTGAGAACACTAGTATTATTTACATTTCCACAACTCTAATGTCCAACCTAAAAGAAGATTCTCATACACTCTGTATTTGCATATGCTCAAAAAGGAATCTGTTGTAAAAGCACAGATCTATCTGTAGTCTCTGGAAAACTCTACTGTGTTTCCCTTAGAGGAAAAGGAGCCAAGTAATTAAAAAAAATTTTTTTAATGTATTTGGTACAGAATCTCACTACACAGACCTGACTCGTAGTGATCCTCCTGTTTTCACCCTCCCCAGCACTGGGATTATAGGTTGTGCCACCACGCCCAGACTCGGTGGCTGGCTCAGCATGCTCAGGCGTGGGGCCGGCGCAGCACTTGGTCCTGGGGATCAAACCCCAGCCCCTTGCTTGCCTAAACAGGCACTTAGCTGTGAGCTAAATAATCTTAATATGAAGTAATTTTAACCTTGTGGACCTTCTGGCCAGTATTTGAGAATCACTGATAATACAGACATAGCTGTACCTACTTTCGGGTTGCCTGAAGCTGAGCACCATTTTTCTGCTTCTGTATCTGTATAATCACTCCCACCTCCCAGGTAAGCATCGACTCTTAATCACTGCTATATTTTTTGGCACATAATGAAAGCTCTAGAAAGAGCAATTAATGAATAACAAGTTTGAGGGAAGAGAAGAGAAAAATCATCACCTTCATTGTCTTTTTATTTATTTATTTTGGGGGGTCTTTTTGAGGCAGAGTTTCACTATCTAGTTCAGGCTGACCTAGAATTCACTTTGTAGCTCAGGCTGGCCTCGAACTTACTGTGATCCCCGTGCCTCAGCTTCAGAGTGCTGGGATTACGTATGCATCTCCATGCCCTGCTTTCATTATTTCCTCATAGTAAAACTTTATTCTTTTAGGAATATGATTGAGAGCAAACATAATATTTGACGCTGTATACACAGTACTTAATTTTTGTGTTCATTTGTGGTTCTGGAAATTGAACCTAGTCAAGCACACTACCTACCACTGAGCTCCTAGTGTACTTTATATTGAAACAACAAATTTTAATATTTACCAAGTGCTTGATATACGCTAGGTACATGCTCAGAGCTTTAATCTATTATCTCATTTAAGTCCCACAATAAATAGTACTTACTAGGAGACAGATAATAATACTGTCATTTCTATCTCGCAGAAGAGGAAACTGAGATACAGAAAGCCAAAAATACAGTCAAGATTTAAATCTAGATAACTTGACAAGGGACCTCTGTCTGCTATCTGCTGATAAAGTTTAAAGACGGAGACAGAGCAAGATTCCTACAAAATGATGTGGAAATGTGGGAGGTGGGCGAGGTCTGCAAAGTAAAAAGCCTTTAGAGCCTAAACAGCTGACGTACCAAGACTGCACGCACTGTATTATTTTCCACTTTAGGTTCCTCTCTGCTCTACTTGCTATGCGCCCATGTTCCTCCTTTGCCGGTGGCTTCGTGGCTTACTTAGACTCGAAGTTCAACCCGAAATTCAGGCGCTACGTAGAACCGGAGCAAGAAACGCTGGTAACCCCGGCAACGGGGCGCGAGCACTGCGCAGGCCCGGTCCATCCCGGCCCCGCCCGCGCTCCCGAGCAGCCCGGCCCCGCCGAGCAGCGAGCAGCGCAACCCCAGCCCGCCGCTCCGGGCCTCGACTCCAGGCCCGCGTGTGGGTGTGAGCGCGAGGCGGGCTGGGCGCCTGCGCAGTAGCGGCGGCGCGGGTGTGAGCGAGCTCACGTAGCTGAGCCGCGGTGGTCGCCGCCTCCTCCGCGCCGCAGTCGCGGCCTAGAGGTTATAAAAGGGCTAACGGGCTCCCTCTGCTGCCCAGTTGCGCCGCCAGAGGGCTGAGGGCAGGGAGCGAGTAACCCGCCAGGGAGAAGGCGAGGGGAAGCCCAGCGCGAGCCGCCCTCCAGTCCCGCTCCGCAGGTGAGACGCTCTCCCAATCTCCCAGCCGCGGCCGCCGTATCTCCTCGTCGTGGGGCCGGGACGGCTGGGCCGGGGCTCCGCGCTGCCTCGCGTCCTCGTCCCTGGAGCTCGCGCCGCGTCCCCGTCCCCGCCGCCCCGGAGGCCCGGCCGCCCTTCTCCGCGCCCCGCTTCCCACCCGCTGCCTCCCGCCTCCCGCCTCCCGCCTCCGCTGTCAGGGCTGCCGCAGCCTCTGTCCCCGCCCCAGCACCAGGACTTTCTTGAAGGTTCCTTCCCGGGAAATCGCCCTGGGGGTCTGAGTACCTGGCTGTCCCTGAGGAGCGAGGGGAACGCGAGGGCGGGGCGTGGGCTGGGGCCACCGCTGCCGCAGATGGTTCGCATGCGGCCCCGGAGAGCAGATTTGAGCGCTTGGGGCCGGCGCGGGGGCTCCCGGCGTTCTGCAGGATGGGAACGTCCTCGGGTCGGGGACGCGAGCAGAGTCGCGGCTGAACTCATCTGTTGCGCTTGGCGCAGCTAAACGTAGCCTGGGGCGCGGAGTTCCCTGCCGCTGGAGCTGGGGAAGTTGCTGTCACATAACCCCGCGGAGGAAGCTGGCTTCTTCCTTCCCTCTTCATCCTCAGGACTCTTTAAAGGCATAAAAGCGCCCCCACCTCGAATTCGCAAGAGTTCGAAATCTGGTCGAACACGTTCCACAGTTTAGTGAGCATTTTGAGGTGGATTAGATGACTGTTCCCGCAATCTTAATGTTTCAAAGGGGAGAAGGATGTCTGGTACGCTAAGTATGAATTTATTTCTCCTGAATAATCCAGCCTAGGGAACAGAAATTCAGATTTTGGACTCTGCGTCTGTGTTCTGCACAAAGTGGAGAAGACCCCTGGAACTTTGAACTGTCTTAAGAAAGGGATGAAAAGCAACTAGGTCCCCTATTAGGAGTAGATCTGAAAGGCTTGCCAATACCGACTTAACTGTTTCTCAGAGAGCTGTGGCTCTTGGACTTACCCTAGGAATGCCCTCGGGAGGGATGGAGTAGCCACTACGTGAGTGGGGGAGGGGGAGAGACGTGGCAGCAGGGTTCTTTCATCTACTTTGGTACTTTTTTTTAAAGTTCTGGAAAGAAACACATTCCGCTTGTAGGTTGAGACGTAGTTTATGAATGGGACTAGTCTTTTTCAAAAATGAAGTTCCGTCTGTATAACACCATTGGAAGTTAATTTTAAAATCACTTTAAGGGGGATTTTTTGAGGGGGCAGGTTTCTGTGGAGAAAATAGATACCTAAAGCAGGAAATAGTAAAGAAGTGGAATATGAACAAACTTGAATATATTTTTGCTTTGATTTGGAATATGAATACTTATTTTCCGACTTTAGCTTTGAGCTTTTGAAGTGTTATTTTCAGGATCCTAAATACGAACTGCAAATTTTTATGTTTTTCTTTCCCTGGGAAGCATAGATTTTATCACTTGTAAAACTTATGTCAATTTTGGTTTTGGAGCATTATGCCTTACTGAGTCCTGCCAGTGTTTTTGATAGCTAATGACAAATGCTTCTTAGAGTTTACAAAAACTAAGAAAAGGACTTCTTTTTCTCTTTTAGATGAGTAATGCTATTTCCATTGGCCTTGAAAAAGTTTTTTTTTAAATTTTGAAGTATTGAATGTCAGGATTTTGATAAGGGGATAATTACACTGGCTATCTTGTGACTTGGTAACTTAGTTGGTATGAAAATTTTGTACAAATTTTAATTATTGCAAAAAATATAGTGCAAATTACTATTAAAAAAGAAATCTTTGTATCACCTGTGTAGTCCATGTTGTAGATGGATCTTGATAGGGATGCTAACCTTTTTTATTAATATGGAATGAGTTGTATACATCTTTTAAGTTCAGACTCCTGTTTTTAGTTCAGAGATTCAGCAAGAGTTGTGATTGCCATAAAATTTATTAATCTTCATTTCTGTGGGAGGAATGTCTTATTTTATTTAGTGATTAATTATCAACTGGGACATACTTAATTCTATTAGATTAACCTTCTTTGAGATTATGAAATTCTTTGACAGTCTACAGGCAAACATGGATTTATGTCAGAAAAATGCAAATATATACATCTACATGGAGTTTTAGCATTTCCTCCCCCACAGCCCACCTATGAACTATATTGTAGCCTCTAAAAAACAAAATAGGAAGCAACTGTTCAAGGATATCTAGGTATCTTGAAGTAAAATTTCTTTAATATTCCTGAAATTTGAGCTGGGTATGTAAAATTGACTAGATTTAAATATATGGATGACCCTATAAACTTTTGCTAAAAAGATTTTTAACAAAAGTTAATAGATGGTTAAAATCATTAACTTGCTAAATTGTCTAGTCAGTGAAAGTACAATTGTGTGGCCTTACCCCACACTGTAATGTATCTTTGGTTTTCACTCTGAAAGTAGAATAGATGTGAAGGTTAACAATATAAAATGTATAGGGGCTGAGGATATAGCTCAGTGGCACAGCACCTGCCTCCAAGAGTGAGGTTGTGAGTTTGATTCCTGGTACCTCTGCCCCCCCAATAACCGTTAGTATTAAACTTTATTGCTCTTGCAGTGAGAAACAGAAAAAAAAAAAACATAATGGGGAGGAATGTGTATAAGTATATGAGTACATGACAAGTAAAGTGGGTATATATACAAGAGAAACCAGTTAAAGCTTTGTGTTTCTACGAAATGAAATTTACTTGTATAAATTGAAGTTACTGTCATAAGTTTCCCTCAAACCATGTGAATATAGCTGAATAAAAACTTAAGATATTCAAAGGATTTTTATTTAGACTACTCCAGCAGCTTTTGAACTTGATACAATAAAAAGCATTCTTTTTCCTACTCTTCCTTTAGATGATTAGTATGACAGTATGTTGACTAAAGATACTACTTCTTTCATAGTCATCATCAGAGAATGAGGACTGTCTTGGACTTGCTGCTTAGTGTTTCCTAGAAGTGTGTCTGTGTTTTGGTGGTTTAAAAATCTGTCCCAATAGTAAGATTATATCAGGTTAATATTGTCAGTCTCTCTTTTAGTGGACATTTGAGCTATTTCTGCATCATAAATAATGAATAGAGAACACTACTTTTTAAAATGTATCTTTAGTACAGGGTCTACAGGGTCCCACTACACAGATTGGATTTGTAGTGATCCTTCCTGTTTTTCAGCCTCCCAACCACTGGGATCACAAGCGCATGCCACCATGCCCAGTCTCAATCACTGTCTCAGTTTGCCTCTGGGGACAGGCCTGGTACTGCACACCAGGGATCTGCTGCATTTTGCTTTAGTCTGCTGAGGTATTTGGCTGGCTCCTATTTGAATCTTAAGATAGCTCTGTGAAGTACCTTTATATCATTCTCATTTTACAAATAAAGAAACCAAGGCTCAGAAAAGTAAAATAATTTGCCTTAGAATATAGTAAGTGGTAAAATCAGATCTTAGACTCAGGTTATGTTTTTGTTTTCTTTTTCTTTATTTAATTTTAAAAAATCTTTTATTTATTTGGTATAGAGTCTTGCTACACAGCTTAGACGCATATTGATCCTCTTGTCTCACACTCCCCAGCATCTTGGGATTACAAGTGTGTGCCATCACACCTGGTTCCGGGGCTGGCAGGGCATGCAATACTGGGGGTAGAATCTGGGTCTTTCCTTCCGTGTGCCAGGCAGGCACTTAGACTGCCAAGCTATCTCCCCAGACCCCTCTCTGTTTTCTGATTCCCATTTCATGTTAGCCTCATCATCTATACTGATTTTGAAAAAAAATAATTTTTGTTTGAGACAGGATCTTGCTGTATGGTTCACACTGGGTTTGAACTCACTATGTAGTCCAAGCTGGCCTCAAACTCATGGCAATCTGCCTGCCTCAGCCTTCTGAGTGTGTGGATTACAGGCATGAGCCACCACACCTGGCTGAAAAAAATTAGTTTAGTAGCATGTTTACCACTGTATTAGAAATGTTTTCAATATTTAGAATTGAAATAAAGTAGGTTCCCAGTTAGTAGTAATTAGCTTAGTAATTCTACTAAATTTAAATATCTATGATGTGCCCAGTAGACTATGGAAGAATCAAAAGGATCATGACAAATGTTATGTAGGATATGAAAGAAATTTTGCTAGATGTTTCCATGATAAGAATCAGAATTACTTTAGACTTGGAATGTAAGACCCAAGAACTAAATCAACAATTACAAATCATAGAAGAAAAAAAGCATTGAATGTTGTATGAAGTGTCAAGAGAAAAGCAATATATAGCAGTCTTTCCCTTTACCCATTCTGAGACTCCAGTGGGTGCCTGAAACTTCAGATAGTACTGGATCCCACACACACTATGATTTTTCCTATACATACACACTGAAGGTGAATTTTAATTTATAAATTGGGCACAGTAAGAGATTAACAACAATAAAAATAGAATAATCAATAATGCTAATAAAGTTTACTGAATATAACCCCTTTTTCTCTCTATTCATATCTTATTAAACTTCAGTTTTTCACTGAAAAGAAGCACTTTATGACTTTTTTGCATATCTGCACTTGATCTTAGCCAAAAGGCCGAGAAGCGATTTTTTTGCATATCTGAATTGCCAGTGCACTACACTTTTGTTCAAAATTCTAATTTGTTTTTGTTTATGTATTTAGTACAGGGTCTTCAGGGTCTCACTACACAGATAGGACTTGTAGTGATCCTTCCTGTTTTCCCAGGTGCTGAGATTATAGACAGGAGCCCAGGATTGAACCCCTGGCCCCTGTATCTGCCTAAGCAGAAGATTTGATGTTTTAATCCACTGAGCTATCTGGCCAGCCCTTTCTTTTAATTCTTTATTGCATTGAGGAAGTGTTTTTCGACCAGTTGACCATGGGTAACTGAAATCATGGGAAGTGAATCTGAGGATAAGGGGGAACTCCTGAATTCTATTATGCGTGTCTACAACAAAGGCAGAAGTGGACACTATAAACATCTTGTTAAAATTTTTGGAAGAA